GAGATTACTGAGGAGGTAGCTTAGCACAATAGAGAAGCTGAATATAAGAATGTAAAAGTGGCCTTTTATTTAAAAATGTGGAGACAAGCCCACAGCCACTAAGGGCTTGGCTTTTATTTTTTTCTGACTGACTATGGGGTTATGGGGTATATGTGACTTTTGACTGGATGTGGTGCTTGGAGGGGACATTGATGTCATGCTAGGAGCTAATGGGAATTTTATTTAGGCCCCTGGGATAGAAAGAGGATGTTGTAATCAAGGAGAAAAGAGGAAGTGGCCATGTGAGTAAGCATCCCTGAGTTCACCTTCTTCTACCTTGAACTACCACTATGAGGTCCTGTAATTTTTCTAGGGCAAAACTCTTTCAAGTACATACTTTGGATTGAATGAAGAAATCAAAACAAAGAATTTTTGCTATCTGTCTTCCTCCATGGCTGGAGATAAGCCATTCATAAGAAATATTTTGATTCAATTCCTTAATGCATTGTCGATACCATAACCAAAATTACAGATCAGTTCACTTTCAGAAAAAGAAGAAGCACTTAAAGGCAGGGATAAAGTCCTTCAATGCAAGTATCCCTGGCAAGGTGAGTTCAACATTGTGTAATATAAACTAAAACTGATTTCTCTGACTTCCAGAAAGAGAAAAGTTTATACTGATATTGCCATAGCAAAATCAATCTCCAGGTATGCTATGTCTGATATGAGGTTTTTGTTCTGTAAAGTCAAAGACTGAATTTTAGGAACAACAGAAATTAACAGAAGAATATACTTATTGAGAGAAAGAAAGCTACCTGAGACAGAGAAGGGGTCCTGAGCAGGTTGCCAAACACTGTCCTTTCTAGGGATCTTTATAGAGTAAAATCATGTGGTGAAATTAGTTTAAGGTGGGGAAAACTAGGAACTCACAATGCAGATGGGCATAAGATGGGACAGAGCTAAGGTAGCCAATAAGATTATAAGTTCAGGTAAAGTTGATTAAATTGGGAACAAAGTGGGAAGGGAGTCACATAGAAAGCAGGCATTCTTAGGCAGCTGTGACTTCCCTTATGGGTTTGGGAGGGTGACTACTGAGGTCATCAAGATGACAGGAACTACCTAGAATGTCAGTCTTTAACAGGATACATTCCTTTGAATGGTGACTCCTGACTTCCTCAGAGTGCTAGGGAACCATTTAGAATATCAATCCTTAGGATATGGATGAATTTGCTTATCATTTGTATTCAGACTTGGCCCATAGCATGAGGTGTCAGTAACTCAGGTCCCTGTAACAGTTCTGTTTGGAAAAATGATTATAGATGTCTTGTGCTCTATGGGAATGATCTGGGGATGTCAATGTGCAATGTATATACCAGTGTTGCCTCCTGATTGACATGTTTTGAAATTTAATTTTAGTTGATTGCATTCTTTTTTCCTTGAAATAAAATGGATTTGAAAATTAAAAGCCTGAGGAAAAGCTCTTCAGTATGAACACTCCTCTGTCGAGCTGAGTTCACCACTGTAGAAGAATGGCAGCTCCAGAAGCCTCTGCACTACAGTCTATCATTTTGGATCCTCTCTTGCAGAGAGGGGTTCCTTTCCCTGTTTATTCTTGTCTCAGAAGGAGGGCAGTAGAGCAGGAGTCAATCAGTGATGAAGGTTCAGGCTATATGAACTGTCCAATCAGGCGAGGCATTGCTGGCTGTGACTTCTGTCTCTTCCGATGTCTCATTATGATGTACCTGTTCTGAGTACAATACTGGTAGCAAAACGCTTGCTAGATCTCATTTAGTACTTTCAATGTCCTGTGGCCTGATTAGCAAAGAACTTGACAGATCCTGGAGCCATGGAATGGTGAGGTTGTGGATGGGAACCCAGAAATAGGGTGGATTGGGTGAAACCAGATACAAGTGTTTAGGAGTATTTCCGGTGTCTGAAGCCTCAGGTATTTAGTTAGCTTTAGCTCCTGAGGTTCTCCAGCATTGGCCATGGGTCATTCACTGTCCCTTTTGCCTCTTGCTGTTGGCAAGGGTGATTTGGGGTCCCAAGAACCCTGGCCCCACTATGACAGCAGCAGACTGAAGTATCATCTTTGAAATTCACTGCTGGCCTGGTAACTCCACAATCTTAGGCATTGGAAGGACCTTGGGAAGACCCTAACTATGATGCTTTCTGTAGCTTGTAGAGCAGTAATGAGCTAGGTCTCTGCTCCCTTTCCTCAGAGCAGCAGATCTGGAATGTCCAAAGTTCATTAATGCCTGTAATGCAGGGCCTCTTCGTCACAATGGCTCAACTTAAACTTTGGCTTTTTTGTATTTATAGTGATCTGCTAAATTTATAGTATGTTCTATAATTCCATCCTCATGACAGGTAGTGGCAAATGTCCTGAAAATTCAGAGATATGTAGTAATGTGCCTCAGTAGAGGAAGGCTTCCCAAACACCTGGTGAACTCGTGTGTGTTATACAGAACAGTGCAAAATAATTTCTGAACATAATTATTTATGTGGCACCCTTGCTCACAGACTAGGTTTGTGAGAACAGCCATAGAGTTTTGAAGTCTGAGAAAAATGAAGCAAATATGAAAGTGTTATCAAGGCCAGGGTAAACATTTGTATAGGACAAATTCCAGAAAGGGCTACCTGTTAAATTCTCATCGAAAATGCTGAAATTTAGGCATTTGCATGGACATTTATACATGATATCCTACTGAATGGAAAGTAATAGGGGTGTCATCTCTGAATTAAGAGCTGATTTAGTAGCTTGGTTGTTCATAGACAGTTTAAATATGGAAATTCTCTTCAATGGACTTTATTAACTGGTGTAAAGGAGAAGCCTTAAATAGAAATTTTGCAGTGATATCAATAGTTAGGCATAAAGGGTTTTCTGCTGAGAATGGATCAGAGAAGTGTGGAAAGAATGTGGAAGTGATTGACAGGATGCAGAAAGCCAATAGCAGGACATACAACAGAGGGGGTCTTCACTAAACGTCAGGTAGTTCTTAGAGTAAGTATGAAGTAAAATTGGGTTTTGATTGCTTCCTTGAGGTGGTCAACACCAGCTTTGGCAACAATCAGCATTTCACATCCCTGTCAACCCATGAATTTTGTGTTCCATGCTTGAGATCTAATTTGGATTATCATAATTATGCCCCAGTGTCATGAAGGTAAAATTTGGATTTTTTTTTGTTCCAAGGATTGAACTCATGACCTATGCTTTCCAGGCGGGTGGTGATGCCACTGAGCTAAATACCCAACTATGAAAGTATTTTCTTTGTAGTATGGAAGATATCCACATTGTTTGTCAGAAAGTGTTGAATATTGTTGGAATTTTTCTTTATTATATGGCTATAGTTTTTAAAAACAAACCAAAGCTGTCTTATGCAGTCTCTTTTCAAGTTTCACTTTGTCTGTGGGGTGTCTCAGTCAGGGTTTCTCTATTTTAGACAGCTCTGCAACTTAGGATAACCCCAAATTCAAGGAAGAACTCCTTCACCAGCCTCCCAAGATATACTTCTTATATCTGAATGGACAGTGATCACTGGGTGACAGTGAGCTATAATTTACAGCTTGGTCCTGGTTTCATTGTTTATACATATTTTTAAAATACAGCTGTTTTCCACTAACATTTGTGTTATTATTTATGTACCATATTGGATGTTATTTATGTTTTGTTCTATGAAACCAAATTCATGTTTCAAAATGCTGCTGAAGTACATTAAGAACAAAGTATTCACTGGCCTAAATGAGATTTGAGGAGACATTATCTATAGTCTATCAAAGTGATTGATGAGATGTTTTTTTTTCTTTTTTTAATTTTGAAACTGGTAAAACACAACAGAACAAGGCACAATAAGGCAAACTCAGATCATACTGTGAAATTGGTACACAACTTCACAACAGGTTACTGGGATAACAGTAATAGGTATCACGTATATTTTGTTATCTTTATAATAATTGTTCTTCAATCACATATATCAAAATGAGATGAAATACAGAACATTATAGAACTTATCAAAACAGAACATTGAATAGAGCAATACCATGATTCAGAATAGAGCAAAACAGTAATAAATATATTTGCCTTCAAAGAGATAGTAGAAGCAAGTCCCCCTTATTTGTTATTTTCAACTTCCCAGAAGATGCTCAGATTTGTGATTCCCATTTGCTAACAGGGGTGGGAGTGACAGGAGAAGATGGGTAGGGGAAGTGTGATGTTTGATTCTAGCCCGTGCATCAGTAGGTTCACTATTGCTTAGTAGGGAGACTGGCTGGTTGTTTGGTTTCACAGCGTCCTAAGTTCTAACATGGCACAGATCTCAGGAGCTGTTGCTGGTTCTTCCCCTGAAAGGGCTGAAGTCTGTCAGACCACCACCACGTATGAGGGAGAGGTGGTGCTTGCTTGGCTTCACAGTGTCCTAAATTCCAGCATGGCATAGATCTCAGGAGCTGCTGCTGGTTCACGCCCTGGATGGGCCGCTGTTGCCACACCGCCACCACTTACCAGGGAAGGCAGGTGCTTGCTTGGCTTCCCAGTTGATTGATGGGATATTTATCTGCTTCTGTGCTTTGTGAATGCTGGTCCTGCAGGCTTCTCACTGTGAGCTCTGCTTTAAATACAGTACACAGGGAATCTTGCAGTGACTCAGCACAAGAATCAGTGCTCCTATTTCACTGTTACATTAGCAGTGAGATGCAATCTAGCATCAAATTTGCTGTCTTCAAAAATGTGTATATATACAAAATTAATGACCAAGACATGGATTTAAATTTGAAGAAATCAGTCTTCATTCAGCTATTTTGTTTGGTTTTATGTAAGTTTAGTTTTGTTTTATTGAGACAAGCTTTCTGTATGTATATGAGCTGTATTTGAACACCCTATGAAACCTAGAATTGCCCTGAACTCACCAAAGCCATCCTGTCTCAGCCTTTTGAGATTCAGATTTGTAGGCAAGAATTAAATATATTTCAAACCTGGGAGCTCAACCTTCCTTTGAGAAATACATGTATGATCCTTTAGGAGGCAGTGACCTTTGAGGATGTGGTTGTGAACTTCAGCAATGAGGAGTGGGGTTTGCTGAGTCCATCCCAAAAGAACCTCTACAGAGATGTGATGGGCGAAAACTTTAGGAACTTGGCTGCAATAGGTAAGGATGAAATACTTTTGTTACTCATGCTGTCAGAATATTGTTTGTTGCTCATTAGTGCTGTTTCATTAAAAGAATGTGAAAATATTTTTAAAAATAGCTCAGATCTGGACCCATTATATCACAACTCTACACAAAATTTATTAATTTGTATATATTATTCTAATGAGCACTGGTATTTCTATGTCTACAATTCAGGAGGACTTGCAGATATCCAGGAAGCTAAAAAAGAATGCAAGATTTCCTGGAGATACTTAAGGTAATTGGCACTCACAAGGAGAAGGAATGTTCCTGAGTAATCAGTAAGCAGAAGAATGGCAGCCAAAGAAATGAGGCACCATTCAATTTAATGGCAGCAATATTCTCTAAACATGTATAAGCTAGGGTATGTGTAATGAGGGAATTAAATCATGAAAACATATGATATTGCATATAGATGTGTATAAAAGGCATACACTTTGAGTTATGACATTCTGCCTTCAGTTTTTCTACTCATGTATACATGTGAATACAACACATTCATTATCTAAAAGTTACTAAGATTGCAATAGAATTTGAAATAAAATGGAGTGCTCATGTTTCTAAGCCATGCTCTAGAGAATCAGCCATTCTGATTAAAATTCTTAGTAATCTGTTGGAATGTTAGTGCACTCTTTCTGAATATCAGTATGCAGTTTTCTCTAGAAATTGATCCCCTCATACTTGTCCTGGATATATTTTTAAAAACTCAAAATCTGCATAAAATTTAGATACATGCTTACTCATATACAATGCAAATGAAGTTATAACAGATCAGGCCTTGAAGAAGCTTAGCTATCTATCACTGGATTTGTGGAGAAGGAAAATATTAATAGACCCTGTGATTGTGCATCCTTGTAAACCCAGCAAACTAGGAATCAGATTTTGCAGAATGGCAAATTCAAGTTCAAACTTCACAGCTTAATGATCAGTGAAAATCTCTAAAAACAGATTTTAAAAAAGCTATAGATTTTATGCTAATACCTGTTGCTCATTCCCAGCATGGAAAAGAAAAAAGTGTGTTATATAATCTCAAAAAATAAATAGTATAATGTCATTTGCCATAAGAAATAGATGGGTCTTTCTCCCAGCAATTCAGTGAAATAGGTCAGCTATAAAACATAAAAGGTCACAGGGTTTCTTTTAGATGAGAAACCAAAATATAAAACTGTGGAATCAAATGAAAGAGAGTTGATAGAGAAAAGTAAGACTGACCATATGGAAAAGGAAACTACAGGTTAAGGACAGAAAGGAGATTGTGATAGGGAAACATATCAGAATGATCTGTATGTGATACACATATGTACCCATGCCCAAAGTGAAGCTAAAGATTCTGCATTTCAAAAGGTACCAACTTTTAAGATTTCCAAATGTGTACCAGTCTTTTGAGAATGGTTGTTTTCAACATATCTTACAAGGCCATTCTGTTGCTTCATGATCAGAATTTCTTAGCAGCCATTAAAAACAGAACGACATTAATGCAGTCATTAAACTGAGACCCATTTCACTGTCAATTTTTCTTTTTTTTAAATTTAATGTAAGGAAAGACTAAACAAAACACAATAAGTAGAAATAATACTACTTTCAAAGTGAAAATAAACAGTAAGGAATCGCAAGACGATGATTACATATGGTGTTCATAAAGATAGTTAATCAAATACAAAAGTGAAACATATGAAGTGGGGATTCAAACAGAGAGACTGCAAATAGTTTTGTTCAACTCTCCAAAAAAAGGCTTAGTAACATGGTTATCAATCCTATATGTGATGTTTTTCTTTACAGAAATGACAAGCTAGGGAAGTCCTATGGACATACATCTTGGAATCAGTGTAAAGAAGTATTCCTCTGTACTGCAGAAGGTAATGTGAATGTGAAAGAAACAGAAGCACACCACAATGTTCAGATACAGAAAAAATATTGCAGTGGAGGGAAACCCTATGTATGTCAGCAATGTGGAAAAGGTTTCACCAAATCGGGACATTATAAGCAACATGAAAGAATTCACACTGGAGAGAAACCATATGTATGTAAGCAATGTGGGAAAGTTTTTAAAACACGTGCATATTGTAAGGTTCATGTAAGATTTCACACTGGAGAGAAACCTTATGCATGTAAGCAATGTGGGAAAGCTTTTACCACACATGGACTGTGTAAGGCACATGAAAGAATTCACACTGGAGTGAAATCGTATGTATGTAACCGATGTGGGAAAGCTTTTAACACACAGGGATATTGTAAGAAACATGAAAGAATTCACACTGGAGAGAAACCCTATGTATGTAAGCAATGTGGGAAAGCTTTTACCCAACATGGACAGTGTAAGCAACATGAAAGAATTCATACTGGAGAGAAACCCTATGTATGTAAGCAATGTGGGAAAGCTTTTACCACCCATGGACAGTGTAAGGAACATGAAAGAATTCACACTGGAGTGAAACCGTATGTATGTAACCAATGTGGGAAAGCTTTTAACACATGGGCAGATTGTAAGAAACATGAAAGGGTTCACACTGGAGAGAAACCCTATGTATGTAAGCAATGTGGGAAAGCTTTTAACACACAGGGATATTGTAAGAAACATGAAAGAATTCACACTGGAGAGAAACCCTATGTATGTAAGCAATGTGGGAAAGCTTTTAACACACAGGGATATTGTAAGAAACATGAAAGAATTCACACTGGAGAGAAACCCTATGTATGTAAGCAATGTGGAAAAGGTTTCACCATCTCTGGACCTTGTAAGCAACATGAAAGAATTCACACTGGAGAGAAACCCTATGTATGTAAGCAATGTGGGAAAGCTTTTACCCAACATGGCCATTGTAAGCAACATGAAAGTTCACACTCAAGATAAAACCAGTGTATATAAGTATCATGAGAATTTTTGAGCACACGTACGTATTGCATGATGCATGAAATCTTCACACTGGACAGAAAACTTATATATGTAAGGAATGTGGGAAAGGTTTCAGCAGAAACGCTCATTGTCCAATACATGAAAAAAATTACATTGTTGAGAAACCCTGTGTATGTGACAAATGTGGGAAAGCTTTCACCACATATGGATATTGTAAAATAAATCAATGACTTTACCCTGATGAGAAACCCTATGCATATAAAAATGTGGCAAAGCTTTTACTGCATAGTGAAATAATTCACACTGGGAAGAACCACTGACTATAGAAGCAAGTAGAGACACTTTCAGCAGCCATATTGTAAGTGAAATAAGTGAAAAAACTCACACAAGCTATAAATTCTATGTGTTATGGGAACCCTCAGCACACATGATCATTGTTACATATCTGAAAGGGCTCACTGCATCCTATGTGGATTAACAATGTGAGAAATATGGCAATCCATGTTTGTTGTTAAATACACAGAAAAAAAATCACTCTTCAGACAGTGTAAATCTATGTTTACTTTAAAAATCCCTAGGAGACCTGAAGAAATAATCAATAAAGAATTTTGATGTCAATATTTCTTCACAATTTTACAGAAATGACAAATCTGAGAATGTCTACTCAAGTGTACATGTTGTATGGTTTTCAGTTAATCACTTGTACCTCTTTAGATTTTTTAAAGTGTCTTTGTGCTTCAACATGGTATCTTGTAATTAAACATGATAAACTAAAATGGGCTTTTCAATTTCAAGTATGGATAGTGTCTATGTACTTAATATTTTGTCTTTAAATATTTTATATTTTTGTGAACTTTAGTGTTGTTTATTTAAAGAGAAAAAAACAGAAAAATGTATAGAAATAATACAGAATTTCAGAAAAATAATAAGAAATCACTAGTTGATTTGTTACATATTGTCATCTTTGAAGTAGTTCAAGTTATAAAATTAAAGCACACAAAGTGATATTCCAATAATGACACTGCGAACAGTTCACCTCTATGATCGAACAAAAACTTATTAATATGCTTATCTGTCCTACACACTTGTATTTTTCTTAAAGAGTGTAAGATTAAACATGACAAAACAGAAGATAACAGTTCATAAGAAAACAAGTTAAGGAAACACAGATTTCAAAGCAAGTCCACTGGAGATGTTCACTGTCTATCTTACTGTCTCTAGTTTTCTTTGAAATAGTTTTTCCCATCTTCACATGCATTAAATATATACTGAACACTATAAATCTAAGCAAATAATTACAGAATGATGCAGGCTTTTTGGGTCTTCAAGACTGATTTTGAGGAAGTTGAAAATGACTACGATAATGTCTCTCATTCTCTTCATAATAGCTGTCTTTCTCTTTATGTATGCTCAAATTGAGCATAAGAGACTAGACTAATATCACTCTGAACAGTGAATAATAGCATCCTGAGAAGGAGAAAGGTGAGGAATTGCCTAATAAAAGAAGGCAGAGGACATTGTTAAAAGTGTATCAGGATTTAAAAGCTACGGTAGTCTTATTGCTCTGTTTAGTTTGATTATATTTTGTTCTGGTCTGTCTATTCATATTAGATTTGAGCACACAGAGAGAGAACCCCAAACCAGCAGGTTATACCATGGTAACTATCCGTAATTTCCTATTAACTTAAACTGAAACCCAGTATTACTTACATTGTCTTCTATGACGGATCTTCTTTGAAGCTGGTTTGTTTGAATGCTATTTGGCCTTGACTGATTTTATTCACATTTGCTTTGCTTGCTGGTATCAAGTCCAAGAGTAGAGGCAACTACTCTGAAGATGACAAGATGTAAAAGATATACACTGGGGGGCTGGGGATTTAGCTCAATGGTTTAAGCACCTTTCTGGCAAGTGTGAGGTCATTTGTTTGATCTCCAGTACCAAATAAATAAATAAATAAAAGATATCCATTCCAGGTTTGATTATTTTTATATAAAGAGAAAAAATAAAGGAAATAAAAAAAACACAGCAGTAAAACTGTACACATACTACATAATTTCAAGAAAAAAATACAGTAAGAAATCACTAGTTAATAGGTTTACTTATATATCAGCTGAGCTGAGGCCGGCCCTGCTGCTGCCTTTCCCACCCGGGGCCCATACTAGGACCCCTGGGGACTGGAAGGTGCACATCCAGCTGAGTGGAGGCCAGCCCTGCTGCTGCCTCTCCCACACAGGGCCCATACTATGACTGCTGGGGACTGGAAGGTGCACATCCAGCTGAGCAGAGGCTGGCCCTGCTGCCGCCTCTCCCACCCAAGGCCCAACTACCACCGCTGGGGACCGGAAGGTGAGCATCCAGCAGAGAGGAGACCAGCCCTGCTGCCACCTCTCCCGCCCAGAATCCATACCACCACTGCTGGGGACTGGAAGGTGCACATCCAGCTGAGCAGAGGCCAGCCCTGCTGCCGCCTCTCCCACCCAGGGCCCAACTACCACCTCTGGAGACCAAAAGGTGCGCATCCAGCTGAGCAGAGGTGACTCCGATCCGGTCCTGAAATTGTGCAAATTGAGGAAGCTTTAGGTCTACCTGAGAGGAGCCTGGAACGCCTCTTTTAATCCAGGGGCTCCGCTGCCCAAGGAGGGAGCTACTACAAGAGGAGTCCCAAGAGCCCAGGAGATAACAGTCAATTTACAACACAACCAGGGGAAACTCTGAAACAACACTTGAAACACAGTAATATAGGAAAATGACAAAGACCAAAATGCAATCTCAAACATCCAACCCATCCCCCCAAGAAAGCCTAGGAGCCATGTACATAGAAGAAAATACATGCCATATACCTGAAATACCTGAAACAATAGTAACATAAATAAAGAAGCAGCTCTGGAAGCTTTGAAGGAATTCAAACTAGAAATAATATATCAGGTAAAAGAAGAAATAATAAAAGAAATGAAGGAGATACTGAACATACCTAAACAAGACACAGCTAAACAATTGGAGGAACTAAACAAAAGGATAGAATCGCTGGATGAACAATATAAGAAACAAACAGAATATATAAAACACATGTGAAGAGATATACAGGAAATCAAAAGCAACATTGAAAGTTGTAAAAACTGCCTGAATGAATGCGAAGATAGAATTTCAGACCTCGAAGACAAGATTGCAGCCAGTGAACAGGAAAGGAAAGATCTTTTAAAAATAACAAGAAATCAAGAAATAACAATACAACACCTGCAAGATGATGCAAAGAAAAACAACATCAGGTTGAAAGGGATAAATGAAAAGAGATAATACAAAGGATGTCAAGAGGATATTTAGAGAAGTAATTGCTGAAAACTTCCCAAACATGAAATTGGAAACTGATATCAGGATCAATGAGGCATGTAGAACTCCAAATAGCCATAACCAAAATAAAACTACACCCAGACATATAATAATCACCATTCCAGAAATCGAACAAAAGAATAGAATATTAAAAGCTGTCAGAGATAAAAGACAGATCACCTATAAAGGAAAACCTATCAGAATCACATCAGAGTTCTCAACACAAACAATAAAGGCAAGAAGAGCATGGAGTGAAGTATTTCAGACCCTAAAGGAAAATGATTTCCAGCCTAGACTAATGTACCCTGCAAAACAGTCCTTCAAAATTGATGGAGAAATAAGATACTTCCATGAAAAAGAACAACTGAAAAAATTCATGATCACCAAGCCAATCCTGCAAAGAATACTGAAAGACAGTCTAGATACACTTAAGAAAAAACCACTTAACAAAGCAGACAATTAAATAGAACAGAAAGATAAAGATGCAACAGCAGAAAGATAACATGTCACTAATAAACCAATATATAACACTTATAACCATTAATGTAAATGGGCTGAACACACTAATTAAAATGGCAGAATGGATCAAGAAACAAAATCCAACCATATGCTGTCTACAAGAAACCCATCTAACCAAAAAGGATACTCACAGACTGAAAGTCAAAGGATGGAAAACAATACTTCATGCAACAGGAACTCAAAAAAAGGGGGGGTAGCTATTCTGTTTGCAGACAATGTGAACTTCAAACCAATAATGATCAGAAGAGACAAAGCAGGTCACTCCATACTGGTTAGGAGAAAATTTCAAGAGGAAGAGATAACTATCTTAAATATATATGCACTAAATTCCAAAGCACCAAGTTATATAAAACATGTAATATCAGAAATGAAAAACCAAATTGGCAGTAATACAATTACAACAGGAGATTTTAACACACCATTGACACCAATGGACAGATCAACAGGACAGAAAATCAGCAAAGAGATAAAAGAACTGTATCACACCTGTGAACAAATGGAATTGATAGACATATACAGAGTATTCCACCCAACAACAATAGAATACACATTTTTCTCAGCAGTGCATGGGTCATTCTCTAAAATAGACCATATATTAACTCATAGAACATATTTAAAGAAATGCAAAACATCCCCTGCATGTTATCAGATCATAGCACTATGAAATTAGTAATTAATGATAAAAGATACTGCAAAAATCCCATAAACACATGGAAACTGAATTAACACATTCTTGAATAATCAGTGGGTCACAGAGGAAATTAAACAATACCTACAAACAAATGAAAACAAATACAACTTACTGGAATCTGTGGGACGCAATGAAAGCTGTCTTCAGAGGGAAATTTATTGCACTGCTTTCCCACATCAGGAAAACCAAACAAATACAAATAAATAACTTGATGCTACACCTCAAACAGCTAGAAAAAGAAGAGCAAGTCAAGCCCAAAGACTAAAGAAGAGAAGACATTATAAAAATCAGAGCAGAAATTAATGCAATAGAGACGAGTAAAACAATACAAAGAATCAATGAATCAAAGAGTTGGTTCTTTGAAAGAATAAATAAAATTGATAAGCCCCTAGCCAACCTTATTAAAAAAAGGAAAAAAATCTCAAATTCATGCAATAGGGAATGAAAAAGGTGAAATCACTACAGACCCAATAGAAATACAGAAGATCATCAACACCTATATCAAAAACCTCTACTCTCAAAGGTTAGATAATGCAGAAGAAATAGATTTCTAGAAGAATATGAAGTACCAAAGCTAGGTCAAAAAGAAGTAAAACTGCTGAATAACCCAATTTCTATTCATGAAATTGAAAATGTAATTAAGTCATTACCTACAAAGAAGAGCCCAGGCCCAGATGGATTCACTGCAGAATTCTACAAGAAACACAAAGAGGACCTAATGCCAACACTCCTCAAACTCTTCAATGAAATTGAAAGGGAAGCAATCCTTCCTAAGTCATTCTTGGAAGCAAATATTACTCTAGTACCAAAACCTGAGAAAGACCCAACTGAAAAAGAGAACTACAGACCAATCCCCTAATGAACACAGATTCAAAGATCCTCAATAAAATATTGGCAAACAGGATCCAGCAAGTCATCAAGAAGATTATACACCATGACCAAGTGGGATTCATTCCAGGTATGCAGGGATGGTTCAATATATGTAAATCAACAAATATAATCCACCATATCAATAGAGTCAAAAGTAAGAATCACGTGATCATTTCTATAGATGCAGAAAAAGCATTTGATAAGGTACAATATTCATTTATGATAAGAACCTTACAGAAAATTGGAATAGATGGTCTTTACCTCAACATACTAAAGGCCATCTATGACAAATCAACAGCCAGTATCATACTAAATGGCCAAAAATTGAAGGCCTTTACTTTAAAATCAGGCACAAGACACGGTTATCCCCTGTCACCGCTCCTATTTAATATAGTACTGGAAATACTAGCCAGAGCAATTAGGCAAGAAAGAGAAATAAAAGGGGTAAAGATAGGAAAAGAAGAAGTTAAATTATCACTATATGCAGATGATATGATACTCTACATAGAAGACCCCCAAAACTCCATTGAAAGACTCCTAAATATATTAAATTCAGCAATGTGGCTGGATA